TACGCCAAGTGGCAGGGGTGTTGAGGGGCTGCATTTCTGCCTGAGCCTCTCGGTGGGCGCAGAGCCGGCCCGTCCATCAGGAACACAAGCCTCCAGCCGGGCGGCACAACGAGAGCTTTGGGATGCTAATGGCTCTTTAGGAATGCTAAATGGAGCATTTCTGTCGTAACAAAGGGGCAAAATGAGGGGAGAAAGGAATTTTAGTTTTGAAGTTTCCTTAGGGGAGGGCCAAACAATGGCGGTTTAAATGGACAGTGTAAAAGTTTTATCTGTGTTATGAAAAAGAGGAATAGAGTACACATGCCCTCTTGGCAGCATCTTGGTTGGGTTAAATGGCACACAGAAAGCTGTGCTGGAATTTCCTGGGTTTCACCCCCTCTTGGCGAAGTGTAACATGTTGATTTGAGGACCACTGTGTTAGTCACATCTGATCTGAGACACTTTTTCACATCTTACTGCAATTCATTCGTGCACCCATTCATTCATTCACTTATTCATTCTCCCATTCATTAATGACTCATCCATTCACTCACTTAACCAACAACTGGTTCATGCACTGTGTCCAGGCAGATTTCTAAATGCTGCAAACACCATGATGGACAGGCAGGGTCTCTGCTTTCCTGAAGCTGATGTTCTGTGGTCTGGGGGTCAAAATAATCAGGGCAGGGGGATGCTAAACAAGACCAGATAGTGATTGAAGGGCAGCATTTAGACAAGGTGCCAGGGGAGGCCTCTCTGAGGAGGTCCCGCTTGAGCTGAGACCTGGATGAGGAGAAGGAGCCAGCCTTGTAGATATTAGAGGTAAGACCGTTCTAGGTCAGGAGAACAAGTGAGGAGGTCTTGACATGGGAAGAAGCTTGCCATGTTTGTGGAACAGGGAAAAGACCAGTGGAGAGAAAGAGGAGATGTGAGGAAGGCAGGAGTGCTGCCATCTTGGTGGGAAGGTCACCATCTATGGAAACTTTGAGGTGTTTAGTTATTAAGATCTGTGGGAAGCTGTAGGAGGGTTTCAGGTATGACGGTGGCCTGTTTGGTTCTGGCATATAATGAGGACAATGGAGAAGCAAGGAAGGGCCCTGGGCTGGACAATCTGAGTTACAGGTCTGGTTCAGTGGCTCTGATTCAGTGGCTTAGTCAGCCTTGGTTGAAGCATGTGGGGTGCTGAGTGATGGCCTGGGGCAGTTTGGGGCTGAGGAAGGACAGTCTTGTGGTGTGAGGACACTGTCCAGAGCATGAGTGAGGCAAAGCCTAGCTCACTGGGAACATGCCCATGGTCCTGTGGTATGATACGTGAACACTTAACCCAGCTCACCCAGGCTCTGCTCAGAGTCCAATAATAAGATTTCCAATTCATGAGCTGTGGCAACATTCTTTTCAAGGAAGAATGGATAGGATTTGGGACCAGCTCACTACCAAAGATGAAGAGATGCTGGAGAGATGAGATAGTAAAGAGAAAGCCTCTGACCTTGTGTGCTCGACCTTCTTAGTTCAGCAGAGACCCCTCTGTGATATCACAACGGTTGCCTTTTTGCCCTAAGTGCTTTTCAGATGAATTTTATCCTCTGGATTCTTTCTGTGTACAAAATCTTATGTGGAAAATCAGAGAGGAAAACAGGTAAAAGATGAACTGCTTTGGCTGAAGAAGGTGTTGTTGAGGTAGGGGCTGAAATGTATCATCTGTATACCCCTCCCGGTCTTCCTACCCCCAACGCCTCCCCAGCATGACCAAAAGACCCCAAGGGCCCCCAGGGACACAGTTTGTAAAGAGGTATAAAGGACCCACTTGTAATTTTATTTTTGACCTCATTGAATTTACTATGTAAACAATAGGCAATTGGGATATGTTGACTGTAATAATTTCATCACTTAATCCTCAATTTTACGTGTGACTGATCGGTTGCACACAGATTCTGTGACCCCCCCCCACCCC